CAAATTAGTTAGCATGAATCAGTTAAATGACTAAAAATTAGGTGTCTATTTACTTGTGACCACTCAGGGTACAAGTTATAAAAAAGACTTAACTATATTTCCTAGTCCCTAAATAAAATATCATTTCTTTTCTCAAACTTAATTTCAAGATATTTTATATTTAATTCATGGAACTGAATTCTGTTCAATATAATTTTTTTACCAGTATAGCCCCGTAAGTTTGCGCCAGTGAGCCCCAAACAACCAACCAGCCTCCCTTCTGTAAAAGTTCTTGAAGACTGTTTTTGTCAGTCAGGGTTAAGTAGAAAGCTATTTTTGACCGAATCTGTGTGTTGTTAAATTTACATTGTTTACTAGAAGATGGGCAGAAGGAATTTGGAATAATGTTTCCTCTCCCTAAAACTAAGACTTATTTATGGTTGTTTGTTGTTGCCTAAAATGCTTTAAGTTAAAACATACTGCCCGTTCATCAATGCAATCTAAAGATAATTAAAGACAGATCAATTTTTCATAATGGGTAAAACTGCACTCTCTGATTTCCAAATTCCATAGTTACTGGTGGATAATGATCGAAAACTTAGTATCACTACTTGTAAAATATATTTAAACTACAAAATATTAAAGAGGTTTTCGAAGTATAAATTACTTTGAAATTATTTGTATATTATACATTTTTTGCTTCAAACAAAAATAATTATTGTTTAACATATACAGTTACCGTCATAGCAAAATCCATAATCATCACACGAAGGATCACCATTATCGGAAGTAAACACGGGTGAATTTGATGTCTTCTGTGATCCACTAGAAGGTGGTATTCGAAGAGTTGGTATTTTGTTTTCTTTAACTTCTTGTGTGGCGCTGCTATCTAATGTAAAGAAAAATATGGTGTGTTTAAATGGCATGTGTTATATTAAGAATGTACGAGAAAGTTAAACTATTAGATGAAAAACGAAACCTTCAAAAGATTATAATTAAGTTGTTATCTTCGTAATAAATTAATGAGGTCTTGTGAACATTGTTGTTTTAAAACTAACTACAAATATGTAAAATCTTCTATGTAAGTGTTAATCAAATATTTTTTGGTTATTAAACTCGGTTACTCTAATTGAAAATTCTGTTTTCATAAGAAAATAATCTGATCGTGATTATGGTTACTTAATAGATAGAACTGAAATTTATGGAGAGCTTTTTAAAACACTTTCAATCTTCTACATTAATATAAAAAGACTTCACATCGCTTATATCCAAGGGGAGTAAAGTAGTGTGAATTGAATAAAAAAATTCATATATACTAAATGAACAAAGAAATAATTATGTTTCTCATTTTCCATGGGGGGCAAGTACCCTCTCTGGCATCCTACGAAAGCCCATTCTTATATCACTAAAGGACCAATTACAAAGTCAGTAACATCTAAACTGCAGTGCTCTGCTGGTGCTTATTTAATCTCGGTTAGTTTATTGGAGCTTTGCAACTATTATTTAGTCGATCTTTAGGGGTATAAGTCACATACAGACTGGAAAGCAATTTCGCTTACAAAATTAACAATAAGAAACAAACGAATAACATTGTTGTGCTCATTTAGTCTTGGTTAAAGTCTGTTGAAGTTCTAGGACTATTGCTTAGTCCACCTTCAGCGGTATAAGTTACGGTTATGTCACATATACATTACAAAGCAAATTTCAAAGTTAATAATACATAAACTGCTCATTTTTTCTCGGTTTTGACACCTATTGGCCCTTCTGGACTCTTACTTGAAGACATCGCTGTAATTTTTATACATGAAGATGGACTCAATAATAGTGAGAAAGTTTCAATGAACTTCAATAAAGATTAATTGAGCAAAACATTGCAGTTTCTTTGTTATTATAAACGTGTTTTCATTATTATTACTGAAAGAAATGACTTGCGTGGAATCGAATTATAGCTTACCTTCACAAGTAGTTTCTAGATATATTCCAAAACGATCACCAAGGTCAAGTAGGGGGATGGGACTAGGAGCAGAGTAGGTATTTTTTCCGTCTGGAAACATCACATGATCTATATGGTACAAAGCACAGTTAGAGTGACCTTTACGAGCATTCGGTGAGTATAACGCTGACCGACAGATGAACTCGTTTTCCAAACTGCACATCAGTAGACACTCTTTCTGGGCGTTTACCTAATGGAATTGGTTGGAAATGTCAGTGCAAGCACAAGGTAATATATCTAGTGATTAGTTTTATGAATAGTCTATATAAGACTTCCTAAGTGTAATAGATGGAAATAGATGAAAAATTTCGTGCATATTTCATTGCTCCATTATAAAACATCTTGACACATTTTGATTAATAGAAGGATTATGAGTCAGTCAGTTTAAAAGCATTGTTAAGATCGTTCACTAACTGCCTTAATTTATAAACATTTATGGCTTGTTTGTTGTGGCTGTCTTCTATTGTTTGGTGTTCACAAACAATAATCTAATAATTGTTAAGTCTTATTAAAATCAGTTAGATGCTTTATTTACCAAATAATAATAATAATGTTACATACTAATTCTAAATAAAATCGCATCAATCAATATACTTTTAAAATAACTTTACTAAATCTGTTTTACACTAATACCAAGAGTCTACTGAATTCCTTTTGAATATTTGGTTAAGTTCTACAAACTAAAACCAAAATGTTTGCCTTAATTTTTCATCAACACCATGTTAAAGATTAGTTTTGACGGTTGTGATTTCCAATCTCAAGAAACCATACTGTGATACCCCTGGTCTTCATGATACACTAGTGAAGTACCACGCTTTAATAAGGGTTTAGTCATAGGAGTGAGTGATAACCAGAGGATTATACCTCATTAAGGATTTACCTGTAGTAGTGATTGACACACCAGGGCATTACGCCTAAATAAAAAATTACCTTTGGAGTGATTAACACAACAGGGCATTACAACGCCTCAATGAAAATTTACCTGTAGGAATGACTGACACATCGGGGCATTACAACGCCTGAATATCGGTTTAGCCATAAAAGTATTTGAATGGAGGTGAAGTAAGTAAAAATAAATGAATACATTTGTAGTAATATAAATAACAGACTTGATGATGTGTTTTTAAACTCAAACGTTATTAGAGTGAACACTTTACTGATAGCTGACAAATAACAAGACAGTAGCTCGAGACGTTGGTAAAGATCCGCGAACGAAGATCCAGTGAAATAAAAATATAACTGTTCTGAATCCCGAAATGTGAGTTCCGTGGATCTCTCTTTTTTACAAGCTTGAGCAAACATGCTGCAATCCTAAAAACACTGTCTGCAAGAATGCAATATTAAACAAAGAAAAATACAGATGTATATTATTATGATGGTAAACCAATGAGAGAAAACTGAAATACTGCAATATAGCGAGCTACACACTGATGTTCCTATGAGTTTTAATATTATTCAACAATAATATATAGAACACTCACTAAAAATACCGTGTTAAACTATAGTTACTAAATGTTGATGCTAAGGAGGAATGTATGGAAGAAAAAGTTGTGTTTGAAGTACCACATCAGCGGGTCTTCCATCTTGTTGACATTCTTGATACTTTAAAGAGAAAAACAAGTAGATAAATGACAATAGGAGAAACCTGATAACCCGAGTACTTTGGAAAAGTGTACCCCCGTTTTCCAGGAAAGTATTGAGACTGAGCCACAAATGCAACAGTAAGTCATGCAATCTTCAGTAACATTTTTAACTCACCTTGACAACAGAGAGTATTTGGATTGACTTTTAAAGCGGAACTTGCAAATGTAACACTGAGTTCTTGTATTAACAGGAAAGAATGGGAAATATGAGAACAAGAAATATTTTGTAAGAAGAGGAAACATTTAAAATACGTACGACAAATCTTATCATCTAGTCCTAGTGTTAATGTTTATCAATTGTCTATACTATGATACTTACGACAAATCCTATCATCTAATCCTAGTGTTAATGTTTATCAATTGTCTATGTTAGGATACTTACGACAAATCCTATCGCCTACTCCTAGTGTTAATGTTTATCAACTGTCTATACTAGGATACTTACGACAAATCATGTCATTTAGTCATAGTGTTAATGTTTATCAACTGTCTATACTAGGATACTTACGACAAATCCTATCATCTACTCCTAGTGTTAATGCTTATCAACTGTCTATACTAGGATACTTACAACAAATCCTGTCATTTAGTCCTAGTGTTAATGTTTATCAACTGTCTATATTAGGATATTTACGACAAATCCTGTCATTTAGTCCTAGTGTTAATGTTTACCAACTGTCTATACTAGGATACTTACGACAAATCCTGTCATTTAGTCCTAGTGTTAATGTTTATCAATTGTCTTTAGTAGGATACTCACAACAAATCGTATCATTTAGTCCTAGTGTTAATGAAATTATTCTAACATTTTACCTGATAATGTGTCTGCAAGAGCATCATGATAGGAAATAACTGCATTGTGTTGTGTTTATCGAATTTTATGCAAAGCGAGGTTCAGTGTTAAGCATTAAAACCTTTTTGTCCTTGTTCTTAAAATATTCTGAAGAAGCTCATTTCAAAAACAAATAACAACAAAACAATAGCTTGAGACGATTTCAAGTATACTTAACCAATATATATACCGAAATTACCGTAAATTATAACCAAAAGTTTCACAACAAGGACTCAAAGTCACGTTACCAAAAGTTCTTTGTCTGAGTAGTAATAGAGGCCAACGAAGTGCGCCAAAGATGATTGAGGAAGGTCGGTTTGTAGGTGACTGTAACTCCTTCCTTCGGTATCACATATCTCTTCGGCTGTGTATCAAAAGTAAATTGGTCATTTAATCGAATGTCTACGTACGGTAAAATATGGTCTACACTTATAACTAAACTGCTACTCTGTTCGATGTTTTTGTTTTTTAAAAGAGAAAAAAAAGTTATGGTACTAGAAACAACAAATTTTCCAAAATATAACAGTAAAAAAATGATTATATAAAAAAACCGTTTTATATTTACTTTAGCATTTATTCAACTTTTTGATATTAAAAAAGTGCTCAGTTTAGTTATGAAAATAAAGTCAACGAAGTACAAACCCAAAACGATAGGTTAGCACTATCAAGCATATCGATTTCAGAACGTTCTGTTATAGTGAATTAACTCTTTGACTACTACAGAATTAATATTTTTCTGAAAAAGTGAAAACAGGGATCAAGCGGGATTCAACCCTCGATTTTGGTAATTTAGCCAATCAAACTGCTCGACTGCTCCTAATCAGTCCCCTCCCCCAGTGACACATTGGTATGTCTGCGGACTTACAACGCTAGAATCCGGGTTTCGATACCCGTGGTGGGCAGAGTACAGATAGCCCATTGTGTAGCTTTGTGTAGTAGAAAAACTACAACATTCGTAATAAATTAACTGTCAGTAAATAATACTACCAAACAACTATCAAAATCAGTAGAAGAGAAACTTTTACTGTAAATATTTAACATTCTTATGAGCTATAGATAGATTTAAAAACTAAAGTTATTCATAATTTCTTATAAATGATTTTAAATACTGTAATTTAAAATAAAATATTCACAAAAGTTTTCTAAACTTGATTAGATTTAAAGATTTCATTTTCATTAACTTTAGAAAATATTCCAATGTAGGAGAGTTTTGTTAGGCTGCTAGACTCGCCAAACCTACGTATCAAAAGGAGATTTCTTGGAAACTTTGAGCAATAAAAAGTAAGTTGTTTATTTATTTTTGTTTAAACAAACTACTCGTAGGTTATATGTGATAACTGTCTCTATTTTAGAATTCATAGCCTAGAGGGAAGGCAGCTAGTAAACACCATCCACCGTCAACTTTTGCCTACTCTTCCCCAACAAAAAGTGGGATTAACTATCACATTATAAAGCCCCCATGGCTGAAAAGGCTTGAATGTTCGGTGAATGGACTGAACCCCGCAGATTGCGATTCGAGCGCCCTTACCACCAGACCATTGTTGTAAATTATTAACCACAATGATACACAAGAGGCTGTATCTGCTGCCCACAATTATAAGCATTATAAGCCCTCACACTTAAACTCTGAGCCATCGGCAAAGAAATTATTCTACAAGTGTTAATAAAGAGTTTCACTTCTAGTTGGGCGTGGCCTAAAGGTTAACATATCCAAACTGTGAATCCAACGATTCATGGTTCGCAATCCTTTGCTGTAAAAACGAGCTCCGCACTCTAAGATTGTGGGGGCATCACAAGAGTAACGATCAATTTACAGTATTCGATGAGTATCTCTAGAGTTGATCAAGGTACTGTTGACTAGTTCACTTCCCTCTAGCCTCCAGCTCAAAATTAGTGACGGTTATGCGCGAATAACCCCTGTATAGCTTTACGCAAAATTCTGAACCAAACAAATAATAAACATCAAAAATTGGATATTTAAACGACGAAAGATGGCGAAACAAAACATTAGATACCAATAGACCTAGTATTTACGATAAATATCACATTGCCACTGATAATAATAAATATTTTGAGGAAACAACTTTACACTTACTGAAATATATACAGAAATAAATCTACATCCTTACGTCGTAAACAAAAGTTTTCAAAATATTCAATTCCCGGTTGCTCTAGCAACTTCACAACGACTCCTGGTGAGCGCCGGTCGTATTCGCTGAGATGACATATAAGCTTTATGTAGTTGAACTCTACTGAGCGACATACAAACCGCTCTTCGTTCAGACAAGCTGCAAGACAGGCATTCTTGTTCGCTGTGTAGAGAATGGCGTTATCCATCCCGGGTATAATGGCATTAGGAATCTTCTCGAACGTCCACAACCGGTTGCATACTCTTTCTGAAACCAGAGATTAAAGTAGAACAACAAATCTTCTTATGAACTTTCAAAATGTACTTTAAATGACGAATGTGAAAAATAGAAAAATTATTAATTATAAGTTTACAGTACTTTTATTCTATTAACCATTTTTATTAATATCTATATTGGTACGCAATTAAATGAAATATTATTTACTAAGCATGCGCGAATGTATTCTTCTACGCAATTATAAAATGGAAAATCATGCACTAAACCCCTATTACATATAATAACATATACAAAGGATAATTTAACTAAACAACATCTGTTCAGTGTTCACTCAAAAAGTGGCTCTTCTAGAAACCCTTTTGATATCATACTATCTACCAAGTACCAATTCAATTGAATACCGTCTACCGGAAACTGTTTAATATCATACCATCTACCAAAGACCAATTCAATTAAATATCGTCTACCAGGAACTGTTTAATATCATACCATCTACCAAGGACCAGTTCAATTAAATATCGTCTACCATGAACTGTTTAATATCATACCTTCTTCCAGGAACTTTTTAATATCATACCATCAACCAAAGACCAATTCAATTAAATACCGTCTAACAGGAACTGTTTAATATCATACCATCTACCAAGTACCAATTCAATTAAATATCGTCTACCAGGAACTGTTTAATATCATACCTTCTTCCAGGAACTTTTTAATATCATACCATCAACCAAAGACCAATTCAACTAAATACCGTTTACCAGGAACTGTTTAATATCATACCTTCTTCCAGGAACTTTTTAATATCATACCATCAACCAAAGACCAATTCAATTAAATACCGTCTAACAGGAACTGTTTAATATCATACCATCTACCAAGTACCAATTCAATTAAATATCGTCTACCAGGAACTGTTTAATATCATACCATCTACCAAGGACCAGGTTCAATTAACACCGTCTACCAGGAACTATTAATTTTATACCATGTACTAGACATTCATTTGATATCACAAAATATACTAGACATTCATTTGATATCACAAAACATACTAGACATTCCTTTGATATCACAACAATGACTAAAAATGAACTCAGTAAATTATGCTGTATTATTATACTAGTGTTTTTGAAGCTTAAATATATAACTGTCCTTGACTAAGTGTAAACAACTTTCTTTGATTATTTATTTCTCCTTGTTGTTTAAGAAGTTTGTTCTTGGGAGAACAAACAATTCAAATTATCTGTTGTGTTTTTGGTGTAGCAGTATTACAGTGATCGATTCAGTTATTACAGGAAAACTTTGCATAATGCGACGCTAAGTACACAATAGTCGCCAGAGTACGAATTAGAGTTGGTTATTTTTAGAACATACCTGATCTAATATTGACCTTTGTAAGGTAGTAAGTGTTGACACTACGTTGTGGAAGAGCGGTTGGTTTTCCAGATGTGGTCTTGTTTTGTAAGGTACACACGGTATCCTGTAAAGGTGCCAAAGGATTGACAACAAAGCTAAAACTAGCGGCCACACAGTCCTCTTCTAACCTGCACCAGCTCTGACATTCGTATAGGGAAACGTTGCGGATTGAAAAATACGTTGCTCCTGGGTAATCTATGTTGGTTGACTTTTCAAATGTAACTCTCCCTGAAAGTTAAACAAACAAAAAAAATCACATAGTTAATGATGTTAAGATAAATGCAATGTCTCTTTTACCTATTAATAAATATGGGGCTAAATTTAAAAAAGATGATATTTTATTATCCCATAGCTCAGTTAATTATTGTATTTTTGTATTTCTCTGGTTAATGTTTTTTAAATTTCCATACTAAACGAAAAATGTCGATTTTCTATTGAAAAAAATTTATTTCTTATTGCACATATGCTAACTCTAAGTTTGTACTTAATTTTAATGGCAAATATACCAATACTATCTGTTTGTTTTGTTGTTAAGCGCAAAGCTACACAATGGGCTATATATGCTGTACTCACCACGGATACTAAAACCTGCGTTATAAGTATTCAGACTTACCGCTGAGCCAGTGGGGGACAACCAGAATCTTAGAGCTTTAAAAATAATTGAGTTATCCTGTATTTTATTTTCATATCATTTCCACATGTTATTCAAATCAACAGAAAAACACACATTAGCTTAGAATAGCATTCATTATTTTGTTTTGCATTTTCGAATTAGGAAGAAATCCGAATCTTTGAATTATATTATGCTGTTTTAGTTTGAAAAATTGAGTTATGGTAACTTAGCGCCATCTAATGGAAAACTTTAATAGATCATCTCAGTTTCATTTGATAAGTATGTTTCGCTTCACCAGTTCATTTAGTTGTTTGTTTGTTTTATTGTTAAGCATAATGCTACACATTGGGCTATTTGTGCTCTGTTTACTGCGGGTATCGAAACCCGATTTTTAGCGTTATAAGTCATCAGACTTTCCGCTAAGCCACCAGCTCACTAATGGCTGAATGAATTTATAATTGTTGTCCAAATCGTATGACGTTATTCAATGTCACGTGAGTAGGGATAGTTACACAAGACGATAAATGTAATATTTGTCAATATTGTAAATTTAAATTTCTACTATGTAAAATACGTTGTGCCCTTTTCTACACGTTATAATTACTGGAACTAATTAGCGCAAGCAACTTACAGAATAACTGAAGAGACTAAAGGACGACTTTGTTTATAGACATTCTAATGTTCTCTCTGACAAATCTATCTTGTTACAGCCTTCAATATTCTGTGAGCTCAGTGCCGTAAAATGATTTGACAAGCATCGTTGTGCTTTACACATCATCGACTCATTACTTTATTTTAAAAAAAGAACACAAAACTGTTCTTCACTTCCTGTTTGTGGTAGTCTATGTTAAAACTAAATGTTTTAAAAGTTTCTATATTTCGCGTGTGCGTGAAAAACACGGTGGATTTCACATTAAGCTCAGAAGATTCTTTATTCTTCTCAAAGTGTAGATGTTGTGATTACTGACAGGCGCATTCGTGTCAACATTCTATTTATCCAATACGAAACAAGCTCCAGAAGACTAACATATGTTAAAGAACGAATCACCTTTGAAAAATTACTTGAGTCAGGAAGCATATTATGCTAGTATAACATTTAGAAACAATTTGGCATATAACGATTTATAAACATAATAAAGTAATTTTTGTGTGTATGGTTTCATAAAACAAACTTACCCACACGTAGTAATAATCATGATAAAGTGATTTTTTGAGGGTGGTGGGAAGGGGAGGAAACATACTACACGTTTCCACAGAAGACAGACCAGCGTTTTGTTGAAACATGTAGTATGTTCCCCCCTCCCTCCTAAAATACATCACTTTATTATGCTTGTTTGCCAAGTTATTTGTAAGTGTTATTTTTTGTTGTTGTTGTTGTTTTACCTTTTACGAAACCGTACACATAAATATGATCTAATCATCATTTTGTTCTAACTGGATAATCAAAATTTCATCTATACAGATGAAACGTTCGTGGTTATTAAAACAACTCATTTCGGTTTGTATTTCTTTCGTTTGTTTTGAATTTCATGCAAAGCTACACGAGGGTTATCTGAACTAGCCGTTCCTAATTTAGCAGTGATAGACTAGAGGAAAGGAAGCTAGTCAACACAACCCACCGCCAACACTTGACTACTCTTATACCAACGAATAGTGGGATTTACCGTCACATTATAACGCCCCCTACGACAGAAATGGCGAGCATGTTTGGTGACAGAGATTTGAACCCGTGACCCGCAGGCTGCGAGTCGAGCGCCATAACTACCAGGCCTTCGGTTTGCTTATAAAAATACTGACTTACTTGAAAAGTAAAATAATAAACACATTTCTATCAGAGTAATCTGAAACTAAAGAACTGAAATTAATACTTTACTAAGTTGCTCATACTTGTTCTTGTTACAATTTCATATTAAGTTTTACAACTGAAAAAGAGATATGTAGCTTCATAAAATCATTAATTAATTCAACAACATGGTATTTCAAGGGGAATTCTGTTCGGAGGTTATTAACCTCGAAACGTTTGGTCGGTTTAATATCAGAAAATGATTGGTTAATAAAAAAAATGCAAATGAAAGAATTATTCTTGGAATTTATATTGTCTCGTAATATTTTGTACCATCGCAATCAAATAAGTTAAAATCAATCTATGAATCTGAAACAGAAATGTATGCCCTGGCATGGCCTGGTGGTTAGGTCGCTCTATTCGCAATCTGTGGGTTGAGGGTTCGAATCTCCGTCACCAAACATATTCGCCATTTCTGCTGTGGGGGCTCTATAATGTGACTGTCAACCCCATTATTCGTTGGTAAAAGAGCAGCCCAAGAGTTGGCGTGGGGGAGGGGGGGTTGTTGACTAGCCGCCTTCTCTCTAATCTATCACTGCTAAATTAGGGACAGTTAGCGCAACTAGTCATCGAGTAGCTTTGTGCGAGGCCCCACATGGCCACGTGGTTAGGGAGCTCGACTCGCAATCTGCGGGTTGCGGGTTCGAATCACCGTCACACCAAACATGCTCGCCCTTTTAGCCGTGGGAGCATTATAATATTATGGTCAATCCCACTATTCGTTGGTAAAAGAGTAGTCCAAGAGTTGGCGGTGGGTAGTGATGACTAGCTACCTTCCCTCTAGTCTTACGCTGCTAAATTATGGACGGCTAGTGCAGATTGCCCTTGTGTAGCTTCGCGCGAAATTCAAAACAAACAAACAAGCTTTGTTTGTTTTCAAAACAAACTAAAAATGTATGTTTTTATGTGTGTTCCATACATAATAAAATTGAAACACGTAAAGATATAAACATAAGGATACCTTCCTTAATACCAACCTGCGGGACACACTGTATTATTAACAGCAGTGGTAGTTTAGCGGTTTTCCACATCCGGTTTGCTCGGATTGTGGTAATCCAAACTATCATATATTTTCAGTGGATGTGTTCTACTGGACTCTTACTTCATATACCAAATTTCAAGGTTATCCATGAAGAAATGCCTCAGATATAATATCTCCAATTTTGATTGAGTTTCTTCCTTATTTTTCTTCGTACCAAAAGTACGGAAACTTTATTTGATAGAAAAACATACATAACTTTGTGGATTTTTTTTTTAATTTGGTATACTGGTAGATCTTTATAACCTACAATTAGGAGTCTCAGTTGGTGTAAATATAAGTTACACGTGCAAAGTTATTCAACAAAAAACACTCAAATTTAACGAAAATTTTACGCACGCCTACGCAAAAAGTCACATGAGCTATCGGCCTAAAATATTTATTACAGCTTTACCTAAGAGTAAAAGTGGACCGTTTTTAGTTTTTTGTCATTCGGATTAAAGACGACTGATTTAGAGCAGCAAAACTCTAAGGTGAAAGGACGTGCAAGATTCACTAGTATTGGTTAGGCCAAGCAAACTAGATTAGCAGTTTCTAGCTCAGGTTTTCAAAAGAATCGTATGGGTGGAAGGTGTAGTGATTGTTCATTGCCAACATTTTAGCCCAAATTTGCTAAATTTTATAAAATAACCTAAATTAAAGAGTGTGTAGCATCACTTGATATTAGCTTAAGCAATTAGCTTACATAATGATCCTTGATACGGCTGTACCAATTGAATGGAGGTGATGACAAGAAACTGTTAATCTAAATTCCATGGCTTTACTATCAAGGAAGCTAGTAACACTGTTTAAGAGAGAAAAAACTACCATCATATATTTTAAAGAATTTAGTTGGTTCTGTAAAGCAAAGGTCTGTTCCGAATAATAGGGTTGCGATTCTAAAGCTAATGTTGGCTACTATCGAGTGTCATTTTCTTACTTGCTGTGGTTTGCTGGTGTGTATTGACATGTCTAATCAAAAAACACCTTAGGTGTAGAAAAATAGGTGCGGCCAAAAAAAAACGGATTCAGCGCACGATTTAAAGAAATTAAATTAAAATTGGCAGCTAAACTAGAAGCTACACTTATTGCATTGATAAGAATTTTACAGTCATGGGCTGAATCCTTTTCTGGCCGCACCTTTTTTCACACCTAAGGTGTTTTTGATTAAATTTGTTTTACCGCCAAGCCATCAATAAGTTATCTGTGCTCTGTCCACCACGGAAAACTGTACCCAGAAATTTTATGTTGTATGTCCGTAGACTTACCGCTAACCCACTACTAAGAGAACAATAACTCGGCACTAGTTTAATACAGCATTGATGACAAATTATTTGAATATTATTTGTGTAAATAATAGTAATGTAAACTAGCGTATATTTAGACAGTAGTTTACCTTTGCAAGAACAAGGCTTACCTTGGATCAAAATGCTTGTTGACATGGTTACGATAAAGACACCAATACTTTTGATAAATATCCACGGCATTGCCATTTTTCGTAGGCTAAAACGAGAAATAATGGAACAAATTATCAAAACTTCGGGGGTCCTCTAGGAAATACGAATAATGAGAAGTTTTCTAAACAACAACATTTATAAATAAAAAGATGTTTACGCACTTATTTATCAGGAAACAACCATGTGTCGTTATCAGAACTGAGTCCTGAGTCTAAGCTTAGTTTTGACTGACTAAGGTTATCTAAGAGTCATTTCTAAGTATGAATAGTCTCACATGATATAAACACAACTATATATATCCGGTGGCAACATGGGCAGCGAAACCGATAACCACTGGAAACACGTGCCTCAGCTTTTAACCCAGTAGTAAAGTGCTCCTTTGAATGGGAAACAGAGACTTGTGTATAATTATCAGAGAACGCTGCTGTTTCAAAATAAAAAGTAAGGTGCCCCCTAAATTCAAATTTATTCTTCAACCTGTGGGCGGGAAAGTCAAGAAGTACAATCTTACAATGTAAACAAAGATCTCTTACGGTTTGGAGTTCGGAAATAATTGAATTATCTTTAATAGACTCTTAAGTACTAGTGCTTTTGCCTGTTCTTCCTGTATGCCACTTTATGTTTGTGCCGCTATCAACAAGAGGGAATCTTCAATAGCCACGACACTTGAAATTCTTTTAGGCAAGATTAGAGTAAATTAATCTATAAAAAACACTACTGGAAGTGAAGTTAACAGTGCATCTCATAAAAGTATATATATCATTCAGGTGTACTTACATCAGTTGTTGGTCTTTAGAAAATACTTGTTTTCGTTTTAACTTCGTGAGAAAACGAGAAGTATGCCAGTGACGTAATAAAAAATCTCGTGCGCAGCCACCTGGAATATCAACATTGATAACTGACTAAACTAAGAGAAAACGGAAGTGAAATAAAGCATTCTAGCTCCTCTGTATTTGAGGTGGAGCCGGAAGAAAGTTTTAGGAAGATGTTTTGTTTGTTTTTTATATACATTTGACGGTAAGGGAATGAAATAATCTTCTATGAATCTCATACAGTCCATGGTCTTTAGAAAATTGCTGCCATCTACAATAGAAAATCCTCGAGCAGCTGTAGAAACAACAATTTGTTGTTCTTTCAGGGTTAAACTACACAATGTGCTATCTACACTATATCCACCAAGGGGGATCGAACCCCTTACTTTAGCGCTAAACTACACAATGTGCTATCTACACTATATCCACCAAGGGGGATCGAACCCCTTACTTTAGCGCTAAACTACACAATGTGCTATCTACACTATATCCACCAAGGGGGATCGAACACCTTACTTTAGCGCTAAACTACACAATGGGCTATCTACACCATATCCACCAAGGGGGATTGAATCCCTTACTTTAGAGTTGTAAGTCCGGAAACTTACCGCTGATCCACCAGAAGGGAGGAATAAAACATATTTATGACAAATGAGCAGAGTTTAAATACATTTTAAACTGTGATTACAAGTTCCCAGAACTAATTAATGTTAGCATAAAATACAGAAGCCTTTGATTTATCGTTTATTACCAGAATTAAGCATCACCATTCTCTATATTTCTTTGTCCTTCCTCTTCGAAATTTATTTAGCTGTCTGTATCTTCTTACATCTCTTTACATCAAGTTTCGTTTTTTTTTATTATTATTAGTTATCTCGTGGTATTTTAGTTTAACCTTAACAAGTTAAATCACCTATCAGTGTTATATTCATAGTGTTTTGGGTTGTCTTTTACTCACTAAGTGAATGTATATTTATATAGGATTTGAAGAATATATACCATTAATTCTACTATATATTCTTCTAAATTGCAGCAGACGAGCTGCTTAAAATACTAAAGATAAATATGAAGTCTAGTATTGTTCTTTCGATTTTATCTTGTCCAGGGTTACTACTGAGGGGTGGAATTCCCCGAAACCGGTAAAACTCAATGACAAGTGGTGAATAGAATGATAGATTTAGTTTCATGTCTGTTTTTAGTATCTATTAGTGTTCTAGGTATGGGAACAACAAAAGCACTATATACTCACTGGTCTTGACAAACAACTTTTTATAAGTCGAAACACGAAAACTCGTGTTTGTCAGACCGAAAAGAGTAAATTGCGTAATATTTCTTTTCTATTTGTGTGAATCCGAAGTGATTGAAAAAGATAAATACGGAAGAAACGATTTAAAGAGCATTTATTGAGCTTTTTTAATCCATTTGTGAGACCATTTTCTCACAAGCTTGTAATGTATAATATTACTGCGTAACAAATTACACTTGAAGAAATTCAACTATTTCCATGCTTTATATTATACATAAAGGACAGATTTGGTTTGATTTCAATCATCTTTGAAGGAAAATGATTAGATAAAAGCCAGACGCTCATCTTTAGGTATGTGAGGCTAAGAACAAATTTATATAAGGGCTAAAATAGCAATGAGTAATGCTTAGATATATATATATATACTCTCTTTTTTGTAATTAAAAACTAAGATATTACACCTTTGTAGAGCAGTAATATCTTCAATAATCTATATTATTGTGCCGCTGTGGATCAATATTAGCTTCAATATTCTTTATTACTATGTATTGTGCCGCTGTATTGTAGTATTACTTTCAATATTCTCTACTATTGTACCGCTATATAACAATATTAGCTTAAATATTCCGGACTACTATGCCACTTGGAGCAGTATTAGCTTCAGTATTCTGTGTTGTTGCGCCACTAGGAGCAATATTAACTTTAATATTCTCTACTATTGTGCCTCTGCGGAACAGTATTAGCTTCAATATTCTATATTACTATGCCACTTAGAGCAGTGTTAACTTTAATATTCTTTACTATTGTGCTGCTGCGGAGCAGTATTATATTTAATATTCTGTATTACTATACCACTTGGAGCAGCATTAGCTTCAATATTCTGTGTGGTTGTGCCACTAGGAGCAGTATTAACTTTAATATCCTCTACTATTGTGCTGCTGCGAAGCAGTATTAACTTCAAAGTTCTATACTGTTGTGCCACTAGAAGCAGTATTAGCTTTAATATTCTGTACCATTGTGCTGCTGCGGATCAGTATTAACTTGAAAGTTCTATACTGTTGTGCCACTAGAAGCAGTATTAGCTTTAATATTCTGTACTACTGTACCAATACTGAGAAGTACTAGCTTCGATATTCTGTACTATTGTACTACTTGGTGCAGAATTAGCTTCAACATTCTCTACTAATGTGTCACATGAAGCAGTATTAGCTTCAATATTCTGTACTTTTGTGCCGTTGTGTAGCAATATTAGCTTCAATTGTCTGCAGTATTATGGCACTTGGAACATCATTAGCTTCAATATTCTGTACTTTTGAAGAAAAACCTGATATAGCAGAGCACGAAATCAGCACTGGATAAAGAAGTAATGGCCACGCAGAGCCAGCCTGATACTAGGATCGAAAATCATTGAACGTGAAAGTTTAGTTGACACAAAGAAAGTCCTATTGCCGTTACTTCACATAAAACGGGGCTTTATGAAACAGTTTGTAAAGACCTTAGAAAAAGGTGGTGACTGTTTCAAGCATGTATGTAAGTAATTTTTTCTTCCCAATTTATAAAAAATCCTTACGTGATAGAAAAAATTAATATTATTTTCCAACTTTGCGTAGCTGAATTATGGAAAATCCGTTATTAAAACCAAAACAACTTTTATGAAGTTTAAATTTGCAGGCCTGTGTAACTATTGCTACTGATCTGTCACAAGACGTCACACTTTGCTAACTACAGCCAAGGTATGACTTGTTACAGGTCTCTTCTTGGATGGTTTTGGTCCAACAGGTTATTCCATATTCCTTTTCTACAATAAAATTAAGAACAAGGAATATCACCGTCTTTAAAATTCTAAATCCCCGAGCTGAACACACCCTTATGATCTAAGTGTATGAATATTTTGCGGCAGAAAAGACTGTTACACACTCTTCCTCAAAGCGATCAATTTTCGACGGCATCACACTACTTACGAATCGTATTAATATAACGTACTCAAGCCTATGTTGTTATTCGCGTTTAATACGTGGATCTAATTCTAGATAAGTATTATAGACAGATACACATACTTCCCATTCACACAAAAAACGTGGAAACTTTGTAAAACCGGATTGTTAGACCCAACAACATACAAAGGACTTTTAAGTCTCTGCAAAGTAACCAACCATGTTCTTTGTATTAAGAAGAAGTTCGAGATTTTCCTACGTTTCCTTCAAGTCAACTGAATAGAACAATAGGAACAGATACATATATGTTACCATTGTGAAAGAGAACACCTTTTAGACTTCTTTTGGGGGAATCAATGAACAATCGCCACTCACTCACTTGGTTCACAGACTGCAGCTCCTAGAATTG